TGGAACAAACTTCCACCCAAGCTTTGATAACTCAAGAAAAAATGTGTTTTTACCTCCTCATTTAACACTGATTCTTTCCTGATGAGCTGGAAGCCGCACTCTCCAGTGCCTTTGAGACCACATTAAATTAACAATGACATATTAAATGTCCAACTGCCATGGCAAATATGACTTCTCCTGCCTACATAAAAACTGAATATTTGCACACACATACCCTTTTAAGTATATAATGTTGCATGGACCTTCAGTTCACTGCATGTGGCAGTGATGTTAAAGGGTGACATAGGGTATGTGAAACAACAGAAATAAAAGAACTAAAACTAAGAGAACTAATGATAAGAAGAGGAGCATTCAGGAAATAAAGCAGTATTTCTGATCCTGGGTTAGTTGTTAGTTGAAAGAGGCAGTTAATTACACTTTAACTTTTGGACTTACCCCTTAAACACTTCTTTTTTTTTTTTTGCTTTGCTCATCTTTCTGGTTGTCTATAATGCCTAAAGGATTTAACTGAACCCAGTGTTAAAGCAGTATAATCCATAAATGGAATTTTAATTAGAAATATTCCATAGCATCCCAATGTTTTCAGCAAAATGACTTCCCTATATAAAGTTTGATTAAATGGGAACCTACACAAATACCATAAAATGTTTCTAAATAGGTTTATAAACATATCCAAAAGTTGACTCAGCAATTATTTTAGCTCAGATGTATTCAAAAATTTACTATAACCCTTACCAAAGCAAAGCAAAAGCGCATAATTTCTTATGGTTACAAAAGAAAAAAAGTAGTTTATCTGTTTGAAAGAATTATGAATCTGTGCAAATTGGCTCTGTCGTCCGTCAAGCTGCAAAGATCTGGCATCTATCCACCACAAGAGGGCAGTAGCGCTCAACCGTTGTTAATGGGAACCCAACAGAGCCATGGAGGCTTCATTAGAGGAATCGTTAGAGCCAATAGTTAACGCATCAATCTCTCATTGGAAAGGGCAGGGAAACAGGAACTACGGCCCAGACAGGTTTGGAGCTTCTGTCCCTGGTAACAATAAGACAGGAAATAAGCAACAGGGACTCGAGAAAGGGAGCGACCTGCTCCCCATCCTCCTGTCCTTGAATCACCATGGAGATGGCTGACTAGCTTAATAATGGTTGCAGATAGGGGTCTGTTCATTTGGATGTCAGATAAGAACAGTGGCAGGCCTCAATAGAGCAGAGCTCTTAATGGGGATTTAGGAAGAGCAGAATAAAAGCTGTGGGGAGCAGCAGAGCCGTTATATCTCAGAAAATCATTTTGCTAGTTTTAGGAGTGTTCTAGGGTGCACTTTAATTTAGATTCATAACATTGGAGTATTAAGATCATCAGAGTAAACTTTGCAGCCTATAGCATTACCTTGTAAAGGTTCCAGGAAGCTAATACAAAAAGGGATCAATAATAACAAATGCACCTCAACATTTTAAGTATGTACATTGATTGTTCTATTGGGTTGTCGGAAAAGTCATGACGTATTTTGTCTATGTTTTTCAAAGGTCATTTATTTATATAAAGAACAAAGGTCAATCAATGATATATTG